CTTCAAAATCTCTGTTGAAAGTGTTTTACTCCCTGAGAAAAAGTGTCCACTCTCAGATATATGCACGCCTTCACTTATCAATTATGTAAGAGAGAAACAATTAGTGATGGTCACTTGTTCAAGTTGTCCAAGATTGTGATATTAGTTGCAAGTAGAACTGATGCATGCACTCAAATGTATGTCTTGGTCAGAAACGATACATTGGCAATTGTATCACAGTTTACAATGTTTGTATACAGTTGCTATCTGTCCTTTTTTCAGACTCAAATTATATTATGTTTATTAAAAATAGCGTAGTATAGGATTGATGAATAATGGATGAATTGAGTAGAAGTCATTCTTATTATGGTGCATAGAATAGAGCTCTGAATGAACCCACCTTGAAAATCAAACAAGGAGAATGATTGGAGATTAGGCACTGGATAGGAGTTCTATCTACAGTGAGATTTCTACGCTTTAGCGATCATTTTAGTTGATTAAGCAGCTTCCTATTTGGGTTGATAAAAGGTATATATTAAGCAGTCTTGGGAATGTCTTGTCAACACCTCTCGAATGATTTGACCACCAACTGGGTAAAGAGGTTTGAAGATGAAAACCACATTTCCACGAATGGGTTAAGGCTTGTGAATCCTCTCTTTGCCCAGCAGCAATTGGAGCCTTATGCACTGGGCTGATCTCTTTACTGGGTTTCTATGTATGATATACAAAAACCAATATTGTTCAGATAACTCATTAGTTTCATATGTTTGGAGGTCTGTCCAACACTGTCCAGTATTAAATGAAAGTGTACTTCTGCAAATTCCATGCAAAGTTTACCGAGCTTGGTGTTGATGATCAAATCTGCTTCTTTGTAGGTATGCAAGTTCAGTAAACATTGTAGAAGTTGCGACAAGTGTGTGGATGGATTTGATCACCATTGTAAGGTACTTGATTCTTATAGTTAACATTATGCATTTTTCATATCTTCTGGGATCCTAGATAATAATTTCTTTAATTAATGAATCTAACTTCATTTTGTTGATTATTCCAGTGGTTGAACAACTGTGTTGGGCGAAAAAACTATGCAACATTTATATCACTAATGGCCATCAGTCTTGTATGGGTACGTTTGGAGGGAAACTATAGGTTGAATGGATGTTAAACTTTAGATCCCTCCCTCTAATCTCTCTCTCTCTCTCTCAGGTTGTTATGGAAGCTGGAGTTGGAATTGCTGTTGTAGTTCGTTGCTTTGTTCATAAGAAGAGCATGGAGGCTGAAATAGTTGATAGACTAGGAAATGGTTTCTCTCAGGCCCCATTTGCAGCTGTTGTGGTAATATCACCTCTCTTATGATTTACATCAAAGCTAGTGTTTTTCCCATTAACTAATAATGCAGTAGTTCTTATGATCATTAACATTTCATTCTGCAGATTGTATGTACAGCAGTGTCTTTATTGGCTTGCATACCCTTGGGTGAACTTTTCTTTTTCCATATGATACTGATTAGAAAGGTCTGTACCTTGAGTTTGTTTTCTCTATGATATACAATTTTAGTGATTTCTAATGAACTAGGTGTCGAGTTTACTATCTTCAAAGACTTCTGCATTGAAATATTTCTTTTTGGATTTGTATTAAATTTTCAACGGATTGAATGTTTTAAAAATGATACACGGAATGGAGGATTTCTAATATGAACCTTTCTGTGTTGTATCAGGGAATAACGACTTATGAATATGTTGTGGCAATGAGGGCCATGAGCGAGGCACCTGCTGGAGCGTCCATGGATTTTGAACTCCCTAATATTACACACTCTCCGTCGGTTTCTGCAACTACCGGCTTCAGCGGTGGAAGTTCATTGGGCCTGCAGTATAAAGGAGCATGGTGCACCCCTCCTAGGGTGTTTGTTGATTATCAGGTGAACATTAGTATTACGTTCTGGTTGGATAAGACATACTATAAGCTGTTTATGGATATGTGGAATTCTAAGTGTGTTTGGCAGAGAAATACAAGCACTTTTATAAATTGACTTTTTATTTCTAAACGTTTCTAGAAAGTAAGAACTTATTTTGAAAGTAACTCTTATGTTGCTCTTAGAATGAGTAACTTATTTTCTGTTTTCATCGATAAAACAAATTGTGTACTTTAAAACTTCATTATTTACTTATAAGTAAAATTTTTGAGCTTAGCTAAACATGCTCTCTATGTATAGCTGTTTTGTGCATTTACTCACCTCTGACGTTTGCACCGGGCTCGAGTTTCATTTAATTACAAAATTTCTTGCTGAACAGTGAACACTGACAACTCTCATGTGCTGGTTTTATTATACACCCTTTCAACCCTATATGTTTAATGCCTTCCCCCCAAATGGTTCGTCTCATGGAAAATTTGGCAATATTGTACAAAAAATATTTTGTGTTGATCATAATGCTGTGGTTCTTCAAATTTCTTTTAATTTTTTGTTACCTGGATCGATCACTCTAAAACACACTCAATTATCGTAACTTCCTGCTTTGTGGACTCCATCAAATGGAGTGTGCAAAAGATAGAAATTCTCTCGAAGCTAAAACTTTATTTTCAACAAATTGTTGTTTAATTTCTTACTGATTTGCTTTCTGATCATGAACTTTTTGCTGGAAGTTGCAATTTGTGAAGGATAAAGAAAAGTTCAGCTCCTGTTCATTAACCTTTACCATTTTTTTTTTTTTT